GGAAGGAACTTAGAGAAAATCCTGCAACAAATTGGCAGATTTTTTCCTGCCAGCCAGTGACAATGAGAAGAGGAAAGGCAGTAAATCTAGAGGAAACAACTAATTACTTTGATTATCACATGGTGTACACATAAAATCAGCACAGCACTATTCAGCAATGAGTCAGGACACAACAACGGCAGAATAGAGATTCACAATGAAGGTAGCAAATTTCATGCTGGTATTTTCTTCTGCCAATCAAGGATGGGTGGATAGCATTTCAGTGCAGAAAGTAAGTTAGAATAGAATAGAATCATAGAGTTGGGAGGGGCCAACAAGTCCAATTCCCCATTCAGTGCAACAATCTAATGGTCTTGACCCAGGCTATTTACTTGTTCAGCCTGGGTTTTACTTTACTACATTTTAAAATAGTTTCATGATTACATTTTTCTGTTTGTGATATTTTACAAAAAAACACTATTTGAGTCTTCTTTGTGTACCACACTGACAGCTGTTAGATGAAAAGGGGGAGGGGTTTACAAATTTTTAAACTAAGATTAAAACATAAATAGAATGTTTTCTTAATCATAAAGAGAGGATTATATGAAAACTAAAGAAAAAAGAACAATGCTTGTTGTAAACTAACAAGGCATACAAATGGCTTGAGTAAGATGGTGCCATCTAACTGGATCATCAAAGCAAAAGTGTAATAGGAACACAGGAAGCTGCCTTATCCTGACTTACAACCTTGATCCAGCTCTCTGGCAGCAACTCTCCAAGATTTCAGGCAGCTTCTCCAGCTCTAGCTGAAAAGGCAAGAATGGAATCTGTCACATGCAAAGCCCAAATGCCCCTTTCCTTGCAACAAAGGATGTTGTGGCATCACCCAGGTAGCCAGTGATGATTGTATCATTTGTCCTAATAAGGCACAGTGATAAGGAAATGTTCCTTAGGAAACCCAGATGAGCCCATTGCACTGGGCAAGTATGGCATCCCACGATGGACAAATATCTTCATAAAGCTACCAATACAAATAAATGAAAGGATTGTAGTGATTCTGATGTACAAATTCTTAGGTTGATTCCATGTAATATCATTCACAGGGGAAAATGGTATAAGTGTGACTCTAGAGACAAAACACCCTATGAAGATATTTCTAGGAAGGCTATCTAGACAAAAGGTCCTTTCCTCACTTGTACCACAAACATGCCCTGGCAACATTTTTTTTTTTTTACATTCCCTATGATATTACTTTCATCTCTGGGCCAGCCCATGAATGAGACAGGTTTAAGTTGTCCTTAGTTTTACTGGTGTTAAGATAGTAACTGGCAGTGACCTGAAACAGATGCAGTAAAAGCACAATGGGAACAACAGATTTAATTTCAATGTACTTTTCTGCTGACTCAAAAATGGGTAGATATAACTTTAACTCAGCAGTGGGGAAAGACCCAAAATGATTAAGATGTTCAGATTGTATATGGAAATGAAGGGGCAGCATGTCTGAACGTGTCTGCCTTCTTGCTTGCTTATCTGCCAAAGTTTTCAATGAAACATGAATATGCACAAAAAGTAAACATGTAAGAGAGGAACTTTTAAACCTCATGGTCAATTAAAAACAAAAATTCCTAAAGTACATAAAATTATTACAATAGAATTGATAATGTCAGCAAGCAGATGAAAAAAGGAAGGCTGGTTGAGATTATTTTCCCCTTCACTTAGGAGATATGTATCTCCTAATTGGACTATTTTGTTGGTATAATCATTTTTTGCTGCTAATCACATCCAGACTTATCAAGCGTAAATTACTGTCAATATCACTTTTTTTAACTAGCTGTAAAAAAAGACAACAGCAATCTACAAGGCAGTAAAGGAGAAAAGACCAGTTCAGGTTTCCTCAAACCATCAGAAAACCTTCTGGATTTATACCTCTGATGACTGATTCACTTATTAAATCAAATGAATTTTTTTCTGCCCATCATCGGAGGTGATGACTGGGGATGTGGGCACAAAGATACAGTATACAAAGTTACAGTCAGACCATGAGTTTTGCAAACTGACCAAAACAGCTCATCTAAATGAATGTATTTCCTCTAACAGCAGTCTGAGTGCCCATCAATTTGGAAGGAAATGGGTCACTCAGAAATAAGATAATGGGTTTCTATGTACTTGGAAGATTGTCTAGATTATAAGGGTGGGGATAATAGTTTAAGCTTCCTGTAAAGCTTTTTTCCTCCCTACTTGCATGATATAAGGGAATTTTAGGGAAAGAAACTGCCCTCTGCCAGTTTTAGACCACTACATATGCTATCAAATGCTGAGGTACTGAGTTGGCAGCTCCAAACCTAAGCCCATTAGGAACATGGATAGCTAATCTAATACCCTGGAATATCTGCTCTGGCAGATTTATATGATCTGCTATCTAATTCTTTAACACAGCTATGGAAAGAACAGAAGAGAAATAACTTGCTGAGGGTAGGAGACTGCACCATTACAAGGTCCTAAATGGTTTAAAGCAAGTTCCATTTTAGATAAGTATGGGCTCAGAACATACTTCCATCTATTTGTGTATCAGACCCATAGTACTTTATATGTTGTTGGATTCCAATTCCTATGAACTTCTGCCAGCATATTCAATGAATAGGAATGATAAGTGTTTAGTCTAGCAACCTTTGGAGGGTCACTGATTTCCAGTCCCCATCCATTATATAGATAGTTGTGGCCACCCTACTTGTATTTCCCCCCACCCCCAAGTAGTCCTAATAATGAGGCTTGGGATGATTATCTCAGTGTTTGATTTGATTTGCAATCAAATATTTGTGATGCTTCTGAAACCAGCTGCATGTCGTATTCATACTAAAGTTGCCAAGAACAAGTGAAAAGAGAAAATAAATCAAAGAAGTATTATTAGGTCTATCTGTACCCTGTTTATGAAGCTCTAGAGGCATGTGGCTGATTCCTGTTGGAAACAGGATGCTAGATTTGTTAGTTTCCAAAAATGGATCCAATATATTTCCAGTTTCAATGTTACACAAGACTCCTCAGTACAATAGTCCTTATCTCACTATAGAGCTGAAATGTTGACATACAGCCAAGTGCTCCTTTTTGACCTGATAAACAATTTTGTTCAATTCAAATCATGTCCTAGTACATCAATAGTGCAACTCCATATGTATATACTTAAAGTAAGTGAAATTGGGTTTAACATGGCTTACTTGTGTGTGTGTGTGTGTGTGTGTGTGAACATGTGTATATCTGGATAGGATCCTTAGGGAAAAAAAAAGGATTTTAATTAACAATTTCACATTTCTGTATTAACACAAGCTTCCTTTCTCCATTAGCCAGTGTTACCTCTTTGCTTTTGAAGGTGGTATATCAATAGATTAGATTCTGGTCTTAGGTAGGGAAGGGGATTCTTCATCCTTCTGCATTTGGGGTGCTTTTTCTCATCCTTATTTAATATCCTGAAAAATGCACAGTAGGAGATTCATTCTGTTGTTGTACTTTCATTATCTAGTTGAATTCCTTAAAGTTTATACTGTATATTCACAGCTATCTTAGCTAAAATACATGAACTTCAAACCAGATTTGCTCCCCAGAGTTGTTAGGAGTGAAATACCTGAATACCAATTACACACTGATGCAATTGGGTGGTGCATATAAAAAAATTAGTTACATCATTCACCATCTAGACAACTAGATGAACTCCTGTCTGTTCTTCTCACGTTTCAGCAAATACTCCATTGTTACTAGTGGCTTAGTATCCAAAACTGTTCTCCCTTCTCTTGTTATATAGGGTATTCCCCCACTAGTAGCTTTTAGAACCTTTCTCCATTTGCATCAAATTATAGCCATTTATCTTTCTGTCTTGTCCCTATGATGTCTTCATCTTCTCTCCACCCTGTAAAGACTTAACCCATCCTTCCCTCTGCCAGTATTAAAATAGTTGTCTCATTCTTATTCTGACTCAGTCAAGATCAGCTTCAAAGTGTATCAAATTTGTTAAGCTTTGTAACATGGAAGGGGGTCTGGTAATTGCTATAACTGGGAACAGAAGCAATAAAGCCATGATATGGACCAGGAATGAGGTCAGCAAATATCATGATGGCATAGTTTGCTGCCAGCTCAAAAATGGGGGGATAGTACTTCAGCTCAGATGTGGGGAAAAGCCCCCAGCATGTTCTAGAACCCCCAACCATCACTGTGCCTATACAGCATTGCCTCAACAATCACCAAATGACGCCAGAAGACAGTGATTACTGTAGTGTGGAAATGGCCACTGAACGATAGCAGAAACCCCAGTCTTTGTGGATTAATTTCCTGTACACCCCAAATTCTGCAATTATGCATGGGGCTGTCTCACTATTTAGCAAATGGATGCTTTTGCCCATAGCTATGATATGTCTTGACTAAACCTAGAATAAAATAAACGATGGAACGAGCATCAGAAATGTCTACAGTCAAGCAGCCTGAGATTTACGTTTTGGGATTTGCAAAGTATTTTGTTAGCTGCGTCCTGCTGTAGACGTAATGATTTTAAAAAAAAATCCTCTCATGAAGGGCTTATTTGAATTTTTTATTTTGTTTGCTTAAAAGTCACCCTTCCACTCCTTTAATTGAGACCTGGGGCTCCATCTCTAAATGAGAGCAGGCCTGACATCCAAAACATTCTATCAAAGTTGCCACAGATGAATCACTGGACCTTCTTTGATGATTCATCCCTGGGCTCTTGGTACACCAGTCAGGGAGGAGCTGCCTGCTGGAGGAGAAAGTTTTCTTGCGGGGGCTTGCCCCAGATTGCTGATAAAAGGAGGAGAAAAAAGATAATAATTCATGGCGGGGGGGGGCAGCACCTCCAAAAGAAGGCTTGTACACCCAAGAACAAGGAAGTACAGCCTGGTGGCAATTACATATTGAACGCATCTGATCATAATCCGGAGTGATGGGAGGAGGGCCGGTCAGGTGACTCACATGATAAATACCTGGAAGCCATTAGATTCAGGCAGATGAAATTCCGTGGCCCTCCCCGTCCTCTGGACTATAAAGCAGAGCGGGTTCTTGGGGCGCACTTACTATTCCGCCAAGCAGCGACCGGGTCATCTTCCTCCGTTGCAGTAAGTGCTCGTGGTTCGTCTGCGCTGCCTGCCTGGGCGTTGCTTTAATTCAATTTTATACACCCAGAGCGACTCCAGGGCGGCTGCCGTGGGGGCACGTAGACCATCCTCATTTGCCTTCCATGGTCTTCTCTAGCGGGACGGGGGGAGAGCCTTCGCACCCAGCCCTCACTTTTCTCCTTCTCTCGCTCCCTCTCTTAGCACAGCTTCAGAGAACTTTGGAGCAGGCGCAAAGCGGAGAAGGGGCGCTCTCGCTTCCCTCGACGGCATCCCCGCCGCCTCCTGCCGTTCTGCTAGGGTACTCCGGGTACCCGTCGGCGGGGAAGAAGCTGGAAACGATGAAGTTCCTGCTGATTTTGACCGCGCTCTTCCTTGCATCCGCGCAAGCCATGGGGGAAGATCTGGAAGACCAGCATGAGCTGAGCTACTGGGCGGATTGGTCCGACGGCGGCGAGCAGAACCAGGTGAGGGGAAGCGACGCCTCTCGGCCACGGTGGGCGAGCTCCTCAACTTAGGTGGCTTTTGAAGAGCAGGCGAGCGCGAGGACGGTTGGATGGCGGGATGGGGCACGGGCGGGCGAGGAAGCGAAGGCCCGAGCGGGGCTGGAGCTGGCCGTGTGAACGGGCGTTCCTGTCGCCGCCAGCTTTTGGCAGGCGCGCCAAGGCATGTTGGCCGCCCTCGGTCCCCCGACGCGACGGCGGGGGGGG